AAACTATGTCAGGCATATTAGTAATTTTACTATGATCAGATTTTTATCAAGTAAAGTACACAAATATTGTGCTTATTTTTCTAATTTCTTTCAATTGAAAACGTTGCGTCAGAACTATTTCAAAGTAACTATGTTTGATTTTTTCGCAAAGTTCTAATTAAAAATTGAACTTGGTATCTAAGATAAATTTTTTTCGCATCAATTAACGTAATTTAAAACATTCTACAAGACAAATACCCAAACTTTCATATTAATAAAGAATCTCGAAACACAGCTTTATTCTTAGGCATTTATAAGTTATTTGTGAAAGTTTCAAGGTGGTAATAAAATTGAATCATTTAGAATACATTGTTTAATAATAATAATATATCAGATCTTCATTGTAAATATAAAAATCTGCAATATACCGAATTACATAGACCCCTGATATAGTTTTGATTACTTAGTCGATTTATCACCCTAGTTCGTACGTACGTATATTAGCAATTAATGTGCTTGCGAGAAACTACATTGACTATATCTAGCAGAGATATGAGGAATTTCAGGTTTAATATATTATATGTGATAAACTTTGTTTTTCTAGAGTTAGATCTTGATAAATTAAATATTTATATTTAGTCCAATAGGTTGCCGGCAGTAATAGAGTTATCGTGAGTCAATTAATATGTTATAACGGAAATGATGTAGATTTCGTTTATATGTAATCTTTTAAGGACGTTTTCAAGTTCTCATTAAAAAGATTCAAGAATCTACCAAGTGGTCAGTCCAACTGGCAAACGAATAGCCAGCAATTCATAGTCTAACCCATTGAAGGTGGTGTCTGATAATGCCCAAGTTAATTCTTGAAAAACCGGTCGACTTGATCATCTAAGACAATAAAATCGACTAATACTAAATCAAGCATTATTTATAATGTTTGCTTGCCTTTTTATTTACTGTATATATTTAACTAATTATCGGTCTTTACGACAGCAAATTGTTGTAGAATACTTACAGACTTAGAATTCTTTGATTAGATTTGTTTTGGTTTCTTTTAACGAGCGAAACCAAATTATTTATTAAATTATATTTATATTCTGACAATGGTTGAAGAAGAAAAAAAAAAAAATACAGCAAAAATATGTTGTTATATATTTATATGCATTTCGAACAGTATTGGTATACAAATAATTATTTTTGTTGTTCTTGCTCGGTAACGTCCTGATTATATGAAAAAAAAAAAAAAAAGAAAAAAACTTATTACAAAATTTCAAATAAATTTTTGTGATAATGTTACCAAGACAACCACCAATAAGTTGTAAAGAGTGCTCCAATGACTATAGCAACAACCTTAATATCAGTAGAGTTATTATCGACTTTTGGTGTATCCTTCTTACAAACGCATTGGTCTTCTTTAGGTATTTGGCTCATAACTTTAAATAATAGAAAATATATTAAATTGATATAAAAGATAATAGAAAATATATTAAATGATGCATGATATAAAAGTTATATAAACAATTATCGTTATATACCAGATTCTGCGTGCTTTCCACATCCGGCCCATGTATATTTATTGCAGGTTTGACAAACAACTTTCTATGAACAGTGAAACGAAATAGAGAATTAGAATATAATTAAGACTATTCAAAAAATCTATTTATCATAATAATACTTACGAAACACATGTTTAAATATTTATTGTAATAAATTTTTTAAGAAAAAAAAATTAAAAAAAAATTAAAGAACAGACTTTATATGGTTATATATATATTAAATATTTTTAGTACAGTAAAAGACCTGTATAACATTACAGTAAATTAAATATGTGCATCACCCAACATTTCATGTGATAATCCATATAATTTATGATATTGATCACCTGTTTCTTGTGAAATCATCCAATTTATTTAATACGTACGTACGTACGTACATTACATATTATTTGATTGGATAATCGTTATGAGTGGCGTTACCATGAGCGAATTAATTAGAATAGGCTCCGATTGGGTTCAAATGAAACCAGAATAGGCACATGTCTTAATTAAAAATCGGAGAATCAGAATATTAGGACTAACAGATATTAGAAATGACAGGGAAATTAATTACGGAACAAACTAGGTGGATCGATTTTTTACCGAATATTTTCTTGTTATCTGGCAGGTATGACGTATACACTTACGGAAGGAATTTTATATTAATTCCACAGATTTTATATTAAAATTAATAAGAATTTGGCACATGATTTTAATAAAAATTTGCGGAAATAATGTAAAATTTTTTCCCTCAGTGTTTACATAGTACCTGCCGGATAAGGAAGGTTATCGGTTTTAACAGTATCGGTTTTGACTTTCGAAGTTTGGGCTTTATTGAAACACGCTTATGAAGAACTATAATGTTAATAAAACGAGAATACATTTTCCTTAAAAATACATATAAATTTCAAACCATATTTTCTTTGTAACTTAAGTCCTGATGAAAATTCATTTCCTATCACCGAAACCCAACTCTTCGCTTCCCAAACTCGAAACCTTTACCATTATTAACAAATCGGGATGGGATTTACGATGTACAACGAAAGAAAAAATAGCAGTATGTATATAAAATGGAAGATAATGGAATTTCGCCTCATTTAGTCACACTTCAGCACTTTGTAGAGAAAGAGTATCGGGCTTGGTACTATGTTTGAATAGTACTACCGTTCAATATGTGTAATAGATGTCACAAAATAGTTATTTATAACCGAGCTGGTATTAACTAATGGCTCACGAATTAAGCTAGTTATCCGTTAAATAATTAGTCATGAAGACAAATATATTTCATATTCTGATTGGCATAGAGAAACTTTATTTTCAAATATATTTATAGGATGACTCGCGAATTCGCAATTAAAATTTGATTCGAGTTGACGAGTCCAATCACTAATTTAAAGTTGTTTTTTTTTTTAAAATAAAAAAGGCATAACATATAATTAATTTACTACAAATAATTTAAAAGGTTAAAGGTCTCTTTTTAGTAATAGAGTCCTGTAACTCTAGTAAAAAGATTTTTTTTTCTTCCTTTTTTTTTTATTTCCTAAAAAATACGTGCGTGCATGCATGCAATCTTAATTGTTGGCAGAAACTTTCGGCAAAATCTACTAGAACTGGTAAGCATAAATGTCATTCATTAACATTAATTTATGTATAAAATCAGCAATTTGGATTAATAAGCAACATATCTAATTCATGCCTATTTGGTCGGTAATATAATTATACGAATAATATAGTATGATAATATTTGAATCAGAGAATGTTGCGAAGCAGCATTTCTGAAAAATCAAAAAAATTTATTTATGTACCAATGTTATGTATTTCAGAATTATCATGCTATATTGATATTATAGTACGGCGGTCATTGATACTATTTATGTTTTGCTTAAACTACTTTAATTCGTATAGCTCAATAATAAGTATGGATGACGTACGCATCGTGTAATAACACAAGCATGGATGACGAAATTAAAAGAAAGCGATTTATAACCTAAATGGAGTAATACTCATGATTAATAATGGTCGTGTAATAACAAGCATGGATGATGAAGTAAAAAGAAAGTTATTTATATGTATACAGTAGTGTCGTGTTATAATGAATCTGAAATTTGAGGTCTCTTTGAAGATATAAACTCTACTACTGTAAAATAGACTCTTCTATAAACAGCTCTAACCACCAATCTAGCCTGCAAAATTTTAAAATTTCATATGATCCAAGTTTAGCATTAAATTACTGTAATTATAAATTTATTTAACACAAATATTAAAAAAAAAAAATACTAAATTAAACCTGAAGAGATTAGAACTTGAATATCGTGCATATCGTGTAATTTTTTTAAAAAAGTCAATAAATAAATAAAATTAGCTAACTTATCACTTTTATTATTCTTTTAATATTTTATATAAATATATATTATCCTTATATTATTTGTAAGGTACTCAGCAGTGTCTGAAATTGGGTTGCGGAGTCTGCGGGCCGCGACAAAATTTTAAATCCCGTAACCAAAATCTGAAGTGCACATGCGGATTCTCCATGTAAAT